GTTCTGGCAGGCATGAATCTAGACTCTCCTTGGCCGATCCCACATGAACCATCTTGTCCACACCTGGCAGTGGCTGGGCACCGCGGCCCATTCGACGATAGCTATGACTCCGACGAATATGATGTCCCGGACATCAACGAGAATTCCCAGAGCGAGGAATCACGCCATCTGCTTCGAAATGCTCCGCGACCGATCCGAGACGCGCATCCGTGGGCCCGCTCCCGAGTCTACGACTTGCGCCGATACAACGCGTCGAACATGTGGGGTCCCTTTACCGACGATGGCTCACAACGCATCGATTGGGAGAAGGTCCAGGCCATCATGGTGATCCTTGGTTTCAATCACCGAATGTACACTGAACGACGCGGACTGAGCGACACAGACTTCTTGGGACTCACCAGTTCTTCTCCACGGTCTTCTAGCGAGGGAAGTGCGTCAGTCTCGTCCACCAAATCCAACCTCCTGAAACCCTGGGCAAACCTCTTCTGCGGCATCGCCCCCAACAGCTACGTCTCATCCTCGCTCACTGGAAAAGTCAAGCCCGCTCCCAACCCCAGCCTCGATGCTCTGGATCCCTATGGTGTCACAGGTACCTGGATGCGGATCGTCTGTTTCCTGGACTATAACGACCTCTACCGTTTCAATTTCGAGAGAAACGCGGACATTCCCATGACGCAGGAACGAGACCCCATCACGACGAGGGAGGCCTTTCGATTGATCAGACTGCAATTGCATGTCACGAGGATCGAGGAACAAGAGGAGAAAGGAGAGGACGGAGAGGATCTGTTGCCAGTGGTTTATTTTGAAGGCACCAGTCGGAGTACCTTTATGGCGTGGGATCCTAACGCGAATTCCAGGATAAGAGGTGAGTGAACCCGTCCCCATAAACTCCGTCAAATACAAAACCAACCCGCCGTTTCCACCGCTTGCCTTGTAACCTAGCACTTCTGAATCTGGCTGACTCAAAACACCACAACCAGGAACCGTCCGCCAAACCCCGACCAAGGCGATCCGCTGGACCTCATTTTCCATTTTCCACGGCGAAGAACGCTGGCGTTCCGAAGGTGTACAGATCGGTGGCATCCGCAGCGCCCGAGGCGTCCTGGGCAACTGGTTCGACAAGGATTACGACGTGCATGGTCCCGCGGGCCCAACGGCATTTTGGAAGGTGTCGGACGAAATGGTCGAGGAGAAGAGACACAATCTGCCGCAGATGCTGCAGATTTTCATGGCCGAGTAAGAAGCGAGCTGGCATGGAGCGAGTGTGTTGCGCATTCCGGAGAACGACAACGAGAGAACAAGGGGAGAAATGCGAGAGGAAGGGGAGGCCGGAGAGTGGTGACCTCGGAGGGAACGACGTAAGTGCTGGAAATTACGACAAACGATCCTCCGAGCGAGCGAGCGCTGCAGAGACTTTAGTGGAGGAATCAATCTTCTGTTTTTGCTTTGTCTGCCTAACACGAGCCGATGCGGGCGAGCTGTGAGACGAGGGAATTCGAGGCTCAGAGCTGGATGATGAACACTGTTGACTTGGACACAGAAACGTCAGGGCCGAATCCGTTGGTGGTTGGTGATTGGTGATCGGTTCACCACTGACAGATGAATACGTTCACATTCGGGTCTCTCTACCTGTGTGTGTAGGTGTTCGACATGTATGTACTCTGCACATTGGCAATTAGATAGGCAGGCACATAGTCGTGGCTAGGTACATGGTACATAGCAAACACTGATTTTCATTTTCATTTCCAATGCCTACATACATACCTAGGGACACTAGTAGTACGGTCCCTCTAGTACCTACCAACCTACCTACCTACCTACAAACATACATACATACATACACACACCTCCTATCCGTAGGTATGAATACTAGGCATATGACAGTATACATGTATGAATGTACTGTATTGTATACTCGGTACATGTATATGGCCCCTCTGCCCCTGAAGTAGGAACCGGGTTACATGTACTCTGCAACTCTGCAACTCTGCGAGTCTGTACCTCATACTTGTACTCACTGTAGAGCACCTAACTGACTGAGACCGCCTCCTACTGCCCTCAATCACCCCAAACCCCAACCCAATCCCAACCCCCCTTTTTTCACCAGCCCTCGTTTCCCTCTGGCATATACAGTTACATTCACATACACATGGCGGATTCGTGCCTGGGTTTCCAAGGTATAGAAAATCTTTCATTCAGCCAATACCAGGCCGTGACTCCCTCATCAGATAGGAAAAGGGGGACAGTGAAACCCCTCCCGAGCACATTGTTGAAAAAGTAGTAACGAGTCATCCATTCAAAAACGCCCGCTACATGGTATCCACTAAGGAAAAGCACACACACACACACACACAGCTTTTGGCATCTCGTTTAGTCAATTTCCATCCGACTGGCAACGGGTCTTGGTGCGGGTAGTTTTCCACTGCCAGATGGTGCCATCTCCGTTGCGAATGGAGCATAAGCACTTCCGCTCATAGGCTTCTCGTCATCCTCGACCGTCTGCGGCTTGTTGACGTAGGGCTTCAGTCCCTTGTTATAGTTGTGTGCACAGATGCAGGCGTACGTGATTGTGACAAGAATCAGAATGATGGTCAGCACAGCGAAGGTGGTGAGTTCCTTTCGAGCTGGGAGATAGGGACCCTCCCATCCAGGCGAGTACATGCGGACCATCTTGAAAATAAAATAGGCCAGACCGCCAAAGTAAAGTATCTGCATACAAGGTTAGGGAGGAGCCCAAAGCGGCGGGATTGGATGTGTACACTTACAATGACAACAATGGTGCCGAATAGGGACTCTTTGCGGACGAACCACGCAGCTGCTAGAAGAATGAAAATGGTGATAGGCATAGCGGCAATGGTGAGGGCGAACTCGACTTGTCGTTGGGTGACAATGACCACAAACTGGACAGTAAACCCGAGGAAGAAGAAGAAATCAAACTTCAACAGGGCGATGTAGACCTGGTATTGGAGGTAGCGTCGTTTCATCCTTAGGTCGGCCGAAATCCTTTTGTAGATTGTCCATGCAAATTCGTCGTACAGTTTCCAGGCACAGCCGGCCATGAGCACTGTCCCCACCGCTAGAATACAGGGAATGGCGATCAAAAATGGTTCGGTATCTGACCAAATGTTCTTGCGGATGTAGTCATCTTCAGCCAGTGTCAAAATCGCATCCCTGATCTGATCCATCTGGACGGAACCGTAGATGAGTAGGCCGACGTTGTACATCACCAGGCCAATGACCTGGATGGTATTCTTCATTCGCAGAGCGTCCCAAACAAGGACTAGCTGGTACAAAAACCCGAAAATATACAAGGTTAAAAAGGTTGGAATCGTACGAGACGAGGTCAGGGTGCCAGGTATGCCTTCGAGATGAATTTGGAAATGGGCAAAGACATAGCTGGAAAACCATTAGCACTGATCCGACGTTCAACAGACAATCATCAGCCTACCTCTCAAATGCGAGAATAATCATTGCCTGGACTAGGGCAATAATGGAGAAAGTCCATGTCCACTTTGAATTTGGCCGATACATGACTGATATGGATTTTCTCTTATCAAAATCATTCATCGCATAACCCTCGCGATGGTGATAGCCTCCGGGCAATGGGTGATAATTGTCAGCCTGACCTCCGAGGAGGGAAGCGCGAGACTCGTGAGCGCGAATTTTGACGGCTTGAAGCGCAGCGGAGGTGAAATCCCTTTTGACTGATCTGGGCTACCACAACTCTTGGGGGTTGTGGTCCGGCTCAGCGACGTTTCGACGTCGACCGTCGAAGACTGTCTCGGTGATACAGGTATGGGACTTGAAGAGACTTGAAGGCGGCAGGAGGGTCAGTCAAGAGTAATGGCTTGGGTCAAAGAGCGAAAAGAGTTCTCTCGGTTGGGCTTGCGGCTGAAACTCAGGAGGGGGGCAGTGGAAGGTGAGGATTGGTCCAGGGCGCGTCTGGAGCGGGCGAAGCTGGCGAGCCAAGGCAGTAGTAGGCAGTGTCAGGTGGTATAGGCCTGTGTGATGGATGCAACCTGGTTTGGACGATTGAATTTGATGGGGTGATATGAATTCAACGGAGCGAGAGAAGGAAAAGCGAATGTATACAAACGATAGAATCAAGGAGACGATGAGTTTCGATGATCAGGAGTGTGATAATTGAGACAGCTGGGTTACAGGACTCGGGGATCTCGTCAGCTCTAACTACTGTAGGTCATGTCGAGAGAGATCCAGGCACGCGGGCACTGGAACGGGCAGGACGGTTAGGGCATCAGGGCTCTGGCACATTGTTGGAGGGGCGCTGGGGAGGCTTGTTAGTGGGCTGAGCGAATGGTCGCCCAACAAGCCTTGAGGCACTGAGGCACTGGGTGTAAAGTGGGGGCCGGAGGTGGCTCGACTTCGCCCCCAAAAAGGAATCTGAAGTCGCTCAACTCTGATGACTGGGCAAGCAAGAAAGGGTAACCAACTCTCTGGCAGATGTTGCTGCATTGACGATAAAGTTTTCTCTTATTCAGTCAATCCCAAATACCGATATTCAGTATGCGAACTTGATGCATGCTGGGGGACTGATTGTAGCTAGGTCATGCTCCCTGCAATAGAGTCCAGCCGTTTGAACCCTGGGAGTGTGACCTCTATTTTTGGGGAAGGGAGGGGGGCCAAGGCCTATGTGCAGACGGGCGCGCCTTCCTTCTCTGCAGGCCGTGCTTGCCGTCGCAGAACGCCCAACAAGGAGACCGGATTAAATATCGGAACAACTCCCTCACGAGGTTCTTCCTGTTTCTCTAAATGCGGCTAGCGTGCCATGCCATGCTGTGACACCGTGACAAACTTGCCAACGCGTTCCAACATCCACAACCTCACAGACTCGAGCTCTCCCCCTTCCCCCTTTTGTTGTGGTTGAAAGCTGTGTGACCTTGTCTGCCCCCACCAGCACCAAAGACATCCTACTCTCTGTTCTTCCATCTCGATCCATCTCTCAAGCACGCCAATCCCAGGTGGACAACGCAGAGGCCTTTATGTCGATTACAAAGATTCCAATGCAGCACCTGACCGCTCGACTTGTCATCTCCCCAGCTCCAGGCACACTGGGTGAATCAACTGCTGTATTAAAGAAGCTTCAATCCCTCGGCCCTGTACTCTCATTCAGGACGCGTAACACCACTGTCTCCAGCAATGCAGAGCAGCTGGAGGTCGATGTTGTCTTCTCGTCCCATGCCACTCTCGAGAAAGCCCAACACGCAAGCCCCTTTGATGTGAAGGTGAACTATCAGCTTCCCGATCCAAAGCTCCAAGATCCCTACAATGTTCGCAATCTCCAGTCGAGACGACGACCTCAGCCCAAGACTATGACCTGTCGCGTCCAACGCAACGACGGGTTTCAGCCTCCCAGTCAGAACGGTCTTTCTACTGGCTTCTCACCGAGCCTGAAGACCAGGTTATATCAAAGCCTCACCGACTTGAATCCCCCACCTGGTATTGCGGCTGGGCTGGGCGTCTTCGATGTTGACAGGGAGCACCTTTGTTCAACCGCTCAGTTTGTCGACAAGCCTCCGGGACTCGCACAACTGTATCGGTCCTCGATTGCCGACCACCCCACAACCCATCAAGCTTCATCTGCGGCCTCAGTCGTCCAAGATGATCTATCAGAAATCCAACGGTGACCAAGCCTTAGCTAGCTTGGGGAAGCGGCCTCCGTGCTTCTCACAAAGCCTTTCCGGCTTCGCGAGACCTGCTGTGATTGTTCCTGAACCCTATTTGACCCCACAAAGCCTTGTATAGATGACCCCTACTGTTCGACAGACATCTGACCCTTTCATCGTATATATCTTCCCACTGTGAAGAGCATGGCATGCGTCCACAGTATCTGAGGGGTGCGACCGGACGATCTCCTCGAGGATAACATTCTTTGGTGCGCGCCACCATGCAAAGCATTACTCGGGGTTTCTCTTGACCGGAAGCTCATCGGTTTCATCGCGAGGGAGAAATGCGGCATTAATCCATCCGCTGAGTACAGGATGGGCAGGAATAAGAAGATCGCCCCTCTTCAAAACCACTGTCTCGCGCGTCTTGGGTCTCATGACCCATATCCAGATATATGTGTTTTCTGCTCTGCGATGGACGGGTACCTTCCAGCGGTGCAGGGTGTAAGTATCCTGATTCCACATCAGGCGAAACCAAATCCCGTTCTATAATATGTTTACACAATCCGCCGGCAGCCTTCGGCTATCGTCTGAGATCTGATATTACTTTCGTCAAGTCTTGCAAGGGTGGTTGGTTCCTCAGTCTGTCCACACAATTTCACCACTTACATACGACTCAAGGAAACATTGCAAGACAGACCTCTGACGACCATCGCATTCAAGGCAGTTCTAGCCGCGTCGAAGCGCGATGACGATCCCATGATTAGGCTGGATCATCACCGTCCATTCTTATCTTTACACCAACCATTTCGCTTCTGGCACACCACTGTTTCGCTGTCTTGCACTCTTGATCACAGTCGTAAGCCGACTGGGATCGAGTACACTTGATGACTGTGCTTTTCCCTGCAAATATCAGGGCTCAAATGTCGTCCTTGCAACTACACCAAAGAGTATGAGAGTCTGTGCGGAGAAGCTCATCCGCGGGCAAGAGAAAGCGCCACTGATACGCAAAAACCAAAAACCCCGGAGACTATCAATAAAACAATAATCTCATCCACGATATCAGGATAACTCAGACGAAATTTCCTTATACAGCCGATCATGGCATTGCATCCTGTTCTTTCCCCGTTGGCCACCAGGGAAAGCATGTGGATAATCCATATCGATCCCGAGCGGCTCCCGTTCTAACAATCGACGAGCGAACGATGAACACTGAGGAGACAGCAAGACTACCAAAAAGCTGGATTTAGGAAACACTCAACTTGCAGAACACTAGTGAACACGCGGCTCGCTTGACAATTGGTTCTGTTCCTGTGTGCGACATACACACAACCTCAGCATATGTCCATGCCAGTACATGGTTGTCAGTACGCTTACCCATATCACCAAATTACAACTGTCGTATTATATGGATACGCCTGCGTAGCAGCGTGATCCTTATCCAGAGTCCATGAATATTTTATCCCTTTCAGGCCAGGTACGGCCAGTCACCTCCAGTGGTTGCGAATGCCGCCCGCGATACTGTAGCGATGCTGAGGCTTGGAAACCCAGGACCGAAAAGAAATCGGTTTGCCACCAGTTTCCACCATCTATCCTCCTCAACACAACGAACTGGATCGCACGAAAGCAGCTCTCGCCGAGGTTGAATTAGCTGAACAGTTTGATAAGAATCTCAAGCCTCCGGATTGGACCAACAATGAGACGAAACCAGCCAACTACGACAAGATAGAAGAAACCCACTGGTACAAGTATGAAAATGCTACATCTCGCCCAGGAACGCCTTCGAATATCGATCCAAGACAATATCTAGTTGTCACTTGGCTCATATCAGTGATCATTTGACCTACTTTGAAGGGATTACAACAGGACAGGGATCTACATTCATCGATACCGATTCCCTCGTCATGAAAATATCTCCAGGAATCTCTCTGGAAGAAAACAAGGATCAAAACTGTCAGATGGTTACTGATACCTGCATTCCCGGGAATTAGACGGCAAGACTCGATCCTAGCCGGACGGATACAGTCCAGTTGCAGAGGTTGAACAATGCGGTCGCACTAGACCAGCGGGCTGACAATCTCAAGAGTCTCTTGTCGAAGAAATTCTGCCTCTCGTGTCCCCCCAACGTCAAGGTTGATTGACGCTGGATTTGACTTTGCATGGCCACACGATCTTTTTGGCTTTGTTAGTAGCGTTGCTAGAAACGAAAGGGTATACTCTTTGTTCTAGAAGTCAAGACCTTATGGGCTTCGACGAATTGCTTGTTCCCCGCTTGTGCGAAAAATGAAGAAAATGAAGAGAAAAAAAAAGGGAAACGGAAGGAAGAAGCGAGAAAAAAGAGAGGGGAGAGCAAAGAGGAGATAAGAAAGAGGAAGAGATATCTCTCCCGAGAAGGCCGCACAAAGGTCCATTCGAGGCGGAATCGACGACCTACTCGACTTGGAGTCCTGGGTCGTCGCCCAACTTGTTGCCGCTCTCGTTCTCAGTTGAGAAAGTGCCTAAGAGCGAAAGGGAAAGGAAGAGCTCCAGGATCGAGAAGAGACGACTATGGAAGTCGACCCACTGGTTTGGCTAAGACCAAAAGAAAATAACAATTAGATGTAAGAAAAGAAGTGAAGAGAAGGGTTGTGTCATCCATTGTATGACCCAAGGATCAGCTTTGGAAGTCGAAAGGTTCCTGAAGAGGGAACAAAAGCGAAACGGAAGAGTCGAGCAGGAAAATGCCCAAGGGTGGGTATTTCAATGACATTGTGGGCCGGCATACACGGCTGAAGATCCCTGTTTCCGACACACGGTTGCAACTTTGGGGGCGGGCGAGGCCGGTCAGTCTGAGCCAAACATTGGCTCAGAAAACCGACGATTGTCATAACAAGCTCGCTGAGCTCGAAGATCTCTACCAGACAGAGAAGAGAGAACGTGAGCGGCGCGATCGCATGCTCGTGACCCTCCATGCTCTCCTCACTGGGAATGTCGGAGAATACCTCGCAACTCTACCGGGAAGCCCGACAGAAGATGAGGAGCGTGCATACGCCGGGGTCTCCAAGCTCTGGCTAGGCTACATGGCGGGGAATGAACTGGACACGATGGGCGATGATCTGCGCCAGGCATTCGATGAACTGGACAGCGTCAGCATATCCACTACGAGCCTTACCGAGCAGCCGCAGCCGCCGCAGGCCAACACCGAGGGCGCAGGCGAGGACGAGGACACGCACACAGACTCCGACGAGCCAACTTTGGGTATTGAAACTATAAGAGACTGGCGGGACCCTGTCACTGGGGTATCAGGCCGGAAATTGACAAGGCGGTGGAAGACTTCTTCGATGTGCTCAACGCCCGAGATAGGGCGAAAGCTACCCGGGTCGTTGCCCGGCTCGAAAAGGAGGCCGAGGGCGTAGGTGCCGGTGATGGCATATACATCGACTCTGCCGAACCAGCATGCTGCGCTGGCAGAAGAAGAATGGCATGGTAGAGCCGTGAAACACCGCGCCGCTGTGGAGGAGGGATCCGGTGCTGTCGCAGACATCAGCGAAGAAGACCTCGACGACATAAGACGCGAGAGATCAGAACTCTACCGACTGATTCGGACATGAAGTTGTGGGAAGACCTGTACCAGCAAGCTGTGGTCATCTCTGGCTGTGCCAAATGAAACTGTCTGCTGAGGGTTGGGGGGACCGAGGCTGAGTCGGACTCACCGCCGCATAGACCAGTAGGGGGATTGTAAGACTTCCAAAGACGACTCCGAAGGCATACAGATCTGTCGCCAAAAGGCCTGTGAAGATTGAGGTCGGTCCACTCGTGAACACAAGCAGAATTCGTGGTGTTTGTATCTGTCTATCTGTCTCTCTGTCTGTATGGCTTGACGGATGGCTGGATGAAGGATCTATCGATTGAAGAGAGCGAAGTTAGGAGATTGACCCCAACAAGAGACGGAACGCGATGAGCCCCAAATAGAGGCCCTGACCGAGGTGCTGGAGGATTTTGGGGATCAAGGTCGAGGCTAAGCACACACCTCGCCAACAGCCAAGGCGATGAATGATGCATACAGCTGGCTAGACCTTAGCCCTGACGTGGGCGATGGGCTGACCCAGGAAGAACCTAGCACAATCTTCGGGACCGGAGAACAGAAGAAGGATGATATCCTCGTTGGGTCCAACACCACGCCTCTGGCCACATTCGTGGTCCACAGGTCGTTACCTTCCCAAGAGAATGCCCTATCACCCTGGCGACGTTTCGCCAAATGGTGCCGGACCCACATGTGTCGCTATCACCATCCCGAGGATATAAAGCCGGGTGTGATCAAGATGGAGGTTTCGGAGACCACGAGAGTGGACATCGTTGAGATGCCGTTTGGCTGTCGAGGTCAAGGTCGAGGTCGCGGTCGAGCAGGAAGGGCCATGCACAACAACGCACATCACCAAGCAGCACAATACGATACCTGGCACGGCTAAGGCACACAACAACAACCCCTCATGGAAGATCCCATATCCGACATGGAACATGACACCACACAACACCATTCCTCGGGTACATCTAAGTACAATAACCTCGACTACGACCAGACCGTTCAAGACCCTTCCAGTAGAAGCACCACGGCTAACCCCGTACAAGGCCTAGCCACACGACCTTCCTCCATACGAAGTCCTTTCTAGGAAGGTATAGACACCATATCCGATGCTGAATATAGCTAGGCTACAGAAGGCCTACCTGCCCAGCGGTCCCGACAAAAACGGTGGGACAGACACAAAATAGGTGCTAATACAGAGACTTTACGGCAATACTCCTATAATTCACGTTGTATTCTTCAAGTCTAAGATTTATACAGGTATAACAGATGGAGACAATCTATCGATCCCCAGAGTTTTATAAAATTATCCCCATAGTTAAAGGTGTACCTCGTAGAAGTAGTGTTGACGAGGGCGTGTTTTGCCCTAATAGTTTTGTGGTCTGTCCCACCTTTTTTTTTTTGTCGGGAACCCCTGCCTGCCTACCTAGACTAGAAGTACCTTAAGAGGTGGTATTATTATTCGCGTTCGGACAAGGTAATTCTCCCACGGGAGACGAAATAACCGCACGTTGACCGTCGCAGGGATCACGACTTACTACTTCCTAGGTAGGTGGACGGGCATCCCTCACTCGGCGCACAGAATAACCCACAGCTAGTTACCCGAAACGACGACGCCCAAAACTAATAGCGACATACATAGATGCGACTCCTCCCAGTTCTCCAATATAGAACGGGGGGAAAGCCGTGCCGGTCCATCCTCGGCCCACACGAGGCGAGGCGAGGGACACGAGATGAACGGGGAACAACCACCAAGACACCAGTCTTATAGTAAGAGAAGGAGAAAGAACGCTGAAGGGCGACGCGCGAAGAAGGTCAGTATAGCTAGCTGGCGCTAGCTTTACAGTAGGGCGCTGGTTTCCTAATACGATTCAATAGCAGCCTGCACAATCCGAGAGACACAAGACCAAAGCCCTTCCACCAGATCAGAGGCCACGTCCGAAGTCGCTGCTGGCGAGCGGCCGCAGCAGCACAGGGAGACCGACAAAGGACGAGACAGAAGGACGAGACGGATCAGAGACAAATACAAAAGATCCAATAGATGATCATTTCAATTCCAGGTATAGAAAGAAAGCGACACACATACGAACTATGAAAAAAAAAAAATTTCAAATCAAATCAAACCAATCTCAAGGGTATCTCTTTTGCGCAAAAATTCAATCAGCTTTGGTGCTTCCCGGTGCCGTTCCCACTACCTCCCCCTCCTCCTCAGAGGTCTTATAATAATCCCAGAAAAACCAAAGCACCCCCTTTGTTCTGTGAAGGGGCTCGGGGAGTTGATCCCTTCTCTTACTCGTTCATTCAGTCATTTGTTCTTCTTTCCAGATTGCAAATGTCATCCAACCTCAAGTCCAAAAACGCCAATACCATGCTCAGATACCCGGGAAAGATTCGATCGGCTTCTTAACCCAGATTCCAAACAAACATAGATCAAAATCCAGAACAGAATAAATAACTCGGCTCGGTCGAGGCACCAGATCATTCCGCTGGAGTAGTAGTAACTTTTGTGCGTAAATGAAAGACGGTCGGTCAACCTCAATAACGTTGCAAGGTACCGCTCTCACAGTGCGAGAATGACCATGGCCGACAGCGATAGCGGAGGTCTTGAATATCTCGAGCCTGGCCGTCTTTGCCACGCCCAGGTATATTCCTGCAGCGACTTATGTGAGTCATCTGAAAGAGGCAATCAAGCAAGCAAGGAGGAAGAAGCTCGATGCTTAGTGAAGAGAGAGAGAGGGAGGGAGGGAGGACTCCAGCGTCTCAGGCCAAGCTCCCGTTCTCTGGTGCGTAATGCTCTTCTGTCCATGTCTCCCTGGTGCGATGTTGGGCCCGTCTCGATGGCGGCTTCTCATCTTCCTTTTCGGTGTCATCATCCCCTTCTTCGTCCAACTGCAACTCCACGTATCTCTCAGCTTCTGTTCACTCTCTTCCACCCCTCTTCGTTACACAAAGAAGGGCATAATGGGGGCGATCTTCGGGAGAAGAAATAGTGAGACTGGGAAAAGCAAGGGATCTATGCTTTGGAAGCAGTGAGACTCACAGCTTGGGTTCTAGGTCCTCCCGGCCTGTCCCTCGCGCTGTATGTGTTGAAAGCAGATCCAGCGCGGTATTCGGGTGGTGCGCCGGCATCGACGCCCGAGTGAAGTACTGGTGCTGTGAACGAAGGGGGTGGGATTGCGGCATGGTCCGCAAGACTCAGATGTCGGGTGCCGGGGATAAGCATCGCTGGAGAAGGCTCTTCGTACATTGGACTTTCGAGGCCCAAGCCAGCTTCTTCCAGTTGGCGAGCTTCGTACAGTCCGAATTGCTGTTCGATCTCCGCCGCGATCGCAGCGTCCGTTTCCTGAACTTGAACGGGCGGGGCTCCTCCTTCCGCCGACACCTGTATAGGTGTCTTGAGAGTAATATGGCTGCTTGAGACATTGGCACCTGGAGTACGAAAGGAAATGTTCAGCTCAACAGAGTAAGTCCTTGAAACAATACAAGAATGGAATGTCGGCACAAAAACTCTGGGTCGGCCGCTGCTCGATGGCGTTGGAAGTGCGATCGGAACCGGCAGAGTGGCGGTGTAGAAAGGCGAGCCCATTTCATACGTGCACGTCGGTTCCGGGATCGATGATGTCGACGTCGTAGAATAGCCCGATGGTCGTCTAGAAAGATCCGACGAAGAGAAGCTTCCGCGGTCTGAAGGATCGTGGCGGACCCAAGAGACAGTCGATAGACAACGGGACGATAGGGCGACGGTTTCTGGATAGATACCATGCAAAACGGACCAATTGTCATGTTTTCGAACCTCTGGAATGATTCTATACGGGGCAGCGCCGAAAAATGTGTAGGCCTTCAATTTGCTGGCGATAGAGTCCAGCTGAGGAGGAACGTCGTCTGGAGAGGTAGGATCGAAGCGCAAATGGATGGTCGCCATTGAAGAAACAGGTTCTGTCTGCCGCTTCTGTGGGTGCGGAAGGCGGAGACTTCTGGGTTGAGTCGTCTCGGCCGTCAAACTGCCCACCTTGCCGATCTTGAAGAGGCCCTTTCTGACACTCTTCTCCTTGCGCATGACATGGTCCGACAGGTTGTCGTCAGTGTTCAGCGGGGGCGCTTCTTCTCTCGCAGGAATGATCCTGACGCGCTCCTCCTTGTCGGCCAGCTCCAACAGCCTGCCGACGGCGTTCCACCTGGTGATTCTGGCGCGGACGCTGTAGGTGATCTTGGACATGTCTGGTGCAAGGTCGTCCATCAGCGTACGACCGTCTCCGGAGACGCTGGGATCGCCCAGGCTTGGGGGCAGCTGCAAATGTTGTTTCCTGATTTCTTCATTGTCGGCTTTGTGCGAGCAGATGAAGGGGAGTAATCTGTCGGGGACGACAAATGTGAAGGGGATCGAGTAAGTGACACCGGCCTCGAAGGTGCTGCCTTCCGGCAAGAGGCTTTCGGGGATCGGCTGTTGCACTTTTAGGAACGTATGTCTCCCTGTCGTGCGACCCGTTGTGGGGGCAGTGGTTGCAATCTTCTCGACGTACGTACAACTCCGGCCCTCGAATGTGATACTGACGTCGTCGAAAGAAGTGTCCTTCTCGAATCTGATGTCCACGCGGCCCTTGATCTCGTCATATGTGGCGTACGAGTGAACGAATTCCGCGTCGCCTTCTAGGACGATGTCGATTTCGCTCTTCTTACGTAGTCCGATCGCCGTAGCAATTGCTGAGCCTCGCCTCGAGGAGGACGGGAGGGCCAACGATCGAGACCGAGCCGAGTAAGAAGGGACTGCGGAGGAGAGAAAGGAAGGCATCTCGCCGGAGACGATTTGTCGAGGCGTGCTCATAGTGAAGAAGGAAGAAGAGAAGGAATCAGGAAATGCAAGGATGAATCACTGGGCGGTGATAACAACCGGTGACTTGCTAGCGATTGGGATTTCGGCCAACGGCCAAGCCGTCAATCCTCTGGGAACGAGGGGTTGTCGTCGACGCGATTACCAGATTCGGGCAGTCCAAGACACTTGGATAGGCTCTCGTGTCTCTCGTGGTTGTGTAGAATGCGGGGGTGGGTTGATCAGGTGGAAGGCTGTTCGGCGCAGGGTGATTGGAGAGTGATAAGGAGTAGAACTGGAAACAGGATGGGTTCAGGTACACAGCAAACGATGCCCTTCTCTCATTTATATGTCATGCCATGTTCACCGTATATAGTCAGTCCCATCTACGACCACCACCACCACTACACAAACCACGGACTCAGCTGACAATTGTCAATTGGGAACCAAGCCTCGGATCGTATGATTCGTAAGCTCCACCGCCCAATAATTAATTGTGGGAAGTATCGAAAGGCGTAAACAAGTACAAGAAGTGGGAAAAAAAGGGAAAAACCCCCAAGGGATTCCCAGGCCCCGTGAAAAGTGAGTCATGGCGGGTGGAAAAAGGGCAATTGACATGGTCAATTATGTTTTTTTTCCTCTTGTATAGTTTTGCATGCGAATGATGCGATGCGAAGGGCGGACCATAGACGGTAACAATCATTTGGGCAAATAATGGGTCCCCAAACTCCACCCCGCGTATACTTTGGGCCCTTAGCTATACCTTAGGCCTCAAGTAAACCAATTGCAAGGGAGCACGGGGAGACAGCCGCCTATTGACCCGTGCCCTGGGGACAAGTTCCATGTGGGTTTTGGCGACGTCCCTCTCCCCCAAGCGTGGGCCTATGAGTCGGTAACCAGCCTCGGTGAGCGCCCCTTAGTTATCATTCCGCCCTCTTCTAGTACCCCTTGTAGGCCTGGAGGTAGTTGCTAAGTAAGCAAAGTGGATGCCTGGCCTTTGGTGCCTTGTCCTCTCAACTCCACCCTTTACGCCCTCCGATGACTTTGTCGCTCAACATCCCTCCTATTTTCAGTTTCTC